GAGATGCGTTTGGAAACCTGTATTTGTGAGCTGTGATTTTGCAGGTTGGCAGGTCAGGATGGAGTCATCTTGATGGATTTTATGCTGGTCTTCATTCAGGTATCACAGTCAGTTGGTTGGCTGATTAGCATCCACATTATCCAGGCTGATTCCATTCATTTGTAGAAGTCAGTACGCTCTCGGAGAGGGTAATAGGGGTAACCGGGCCACAGTCACTCCTCATCCAGCAGGGTGTCCTGGCCTTCTTAGTGTGTGACCCGGGCAGAGTTCCCAAGTGCAGCAAGGGTGGAAGCTGAAAGCCTCTTACAGTTTAGGTTTGAGCTTGCACAACTTCAATTCCATTACATCCTCTTGGTCAGATCATGCTATGAGGTCAGTTTTGATTTAAGGAGAGGACAAAGAGAATCTCTTTTTTTTAATATTTATTATATTTTAATTATTATTATTATTTTTTAATTTGACCAGAGAGAGACAGAGAGAAAGAGAGAGGGAAAGTGAGAAAGCAAGCTGCCACATTTGGGACTTGAACCACAGTTGTCCAAGGGAGAATCCAGCACCCCAACCACCACACATCTGCTGGCCCTGGCCCTTGGTGGGAAGAACAGTAGAGCAGTTATGGCCATTCTTTCCCTCTCCCTTCTGCAGTATTACAACCCCAATCAGTCTATGATTCTTTCAATACAGAATTCCTAGAAAAACAGGTAAGAGAGTTGCCTCTCTACTTAGCAGGAAATTTCTTTCTTTCTTCCCTTTCTTTCTCTCTGAAAACAGGGTCTCACCATGCAGTGATTTTCTTCCTCAGTCTCCTACCTGGTAATAAAGGTGACCATGCCTGGCTTTTTTTTTAATTGGGGTCTTGCTAAGCTGCCCAGGACAGCTGCCATCTCATGATCCTTCTGCCTCGGCCTCCCCAGTTGTTGGGATTACAGGCACACAACATAGCACCCCCCTTTTGAATTGGAAATAACCCTGGAATTCCCATGTAGTCTCAGTTTGTGGACCACAGTGTCTTAGCAGTGTACGCTACCATGGCTGTGTTGTGTTGACAGTGACTCTTTTCTTGTCCAGAAAATTTAGGAGTCTTGGGGCCAGCAGGTGTAATGGTGGATAAGGTTCTGGACGCCCACATGACTGACTATAGTTCAAGTCCCAAATCTGGTGGCTTGCTTTCTCATTTTCTCTCTCTGTTCCTCTCTCTCTCTCTCTCTGTCCCTCTCTGGTCAAATTAAAATAAATAAATTAATTAAATAAATAAAGTTAAATAAAATGATTCTTTAAAAAAAAGAAACTTCAGGAGTTTTTACTGAAGATGCAATAATTGAAATGATATTGAAGAATAAGTTTTCTAGACAGAAGTTTGAAAAACTACATTCAGAATTCAGATAAGAGGACAAATATGTTGAAAACACAAGAGTGTTAAGAATAACAGGCTTTGGGAACCAGCAGTTAGCGTAATGGCTATGTCACTGGACTGCCACGTAGTCAACTGCGGTTCACGTCCCGGACCTGGTGGCTTAAAACTCACGCCGGGCGCGTGTGCATGCGTGCCCCAGATCCTGAGAGGAGAATGGACGAGAAGGGATTGCAGCATGACCATGCCCCTGGGGGGTGATTTCTCGCTTTCTGTCTCTCTGTCTCTCTCTGTCTGGTGAGCGCATGCGCCGTATAGCGAAAACCTCTCCAAAAAAAAAAAAGAATAACAAGCTTTGAGATAGTGAGGAAACCAACGTGGACATGGCTGTGGGTTGGATTGTGAGCTGGAGGGTGGGAGGGCATAGTGCGTGGTGAGGCTGGATGTCTTCTAAGGTCTAGAGATTTTTCCACGAGAAGTAGAGGCTCAGTTGCCCAGTTTTAAGAATATATTTTTAAAGGGTCAGCAGTTATGTAGCTAAACAGTCACATGGGTGCCTTTGACTTGAGTCCTGAATTCGGTGGTTTGAAACTCATGCCAAGCGCATGTGCATGTGTGCCCAAGATCCTGGGAGGAGAAAGGATTGTGGCATGGCCATCTCTCCTGGGGGGTGATTTTTCACTTTCCCTTTCACTTCCTCTGTCTCTTCTCTCTCCCTCCAGTGAACACATGTACCCTAAGGCAAAAACACAAGGGCAGTAAAGTAGCTTTTCCATTTGAAGCAGGTGTTCTTCTCTTCTACTCTGAAACAAGGAATACAAACTAATGCAAGTTCTCTGAACTGGGGTATACTGGTGTTTAGCAGAGACTCTATAGTAGCTCAAGGAATAGGAATTTTATTACCACCACAGGGGCATGATAACAGTGTAAGCTGGAACGTGGGGAGCAAGAGGGAGTCCAGGAGTCTGCATAGGTCATGAAGGTGTCATAGAGATAGGGGACAGTCTGAGAGCTCAGGAAACTTGATTTAGGTCAGCACACCTGGTGGTTGTATACGTGTACTTCTATCTCACGGTGAGCACAGGGAGTAAAGCATCCTGAAGATTGCAGGTGGAAGAAATCAATGTGATTCATGAAGTCAGACCAAGGAAAAGGCAGAGTCGAAGAGATGGTGATGTTCTTTACTGGCCTGGTGAATCCATTACTACTCTAATGCAAAAGGAAATAATTGGCAGGCTACATTTGCAACTCCATAAACTATTTACAAACTACAGTGTGGCCTCAGTGAGATCATTTGTATTTCTTATTTTTTAAAAAGTTTTGGGGGCCAGCAGATGGTGTGGTGGTGAAGGTGCTGGTTTCCCACAGGTCTAATCGTGGTTCGAGTTCCAGACCGGGCAGCTTGAAAATCATGACAAATAAGAAAATGTTAAAGTTTTCTTTTTGGTTAAAGTTTCTTTCTTCTGAGAAATAGGGAGAGGAAGAGAATAGATAGTCCCAACAGAGTTTCCATGCCATGATCTTCTTTTGGCTTCAGCCAGCCTTGGATGACTAGCACATGTTCCCCCAGCATGTTCAGGGAAGTCTCTGAACTCTAACTGGAACCTTCCAACGTGGGCTAGCCTCGCAGAGCATTCCATCACTTCTGTGCCACTGTCCACCCCATTTATTTCTTATTTTTTAAAGATGATAAAACACCATGGGTAGGAAGGCTATAGCTAAAAATGTTATTTTGCATCTCTGCTTTGAAAAAGCGAGTGTCATCAGCTTTCATCCGTTCTTACCCCCACCTATCACTATCTTTGATTTCCCTAGTTCCAAGTATGCTTAAATCAGTCGTGTGCTCCATGAACCACAGCTTAATTTCTGCCCTATGTTTCTATCTGTTTATGTATCAATTTAGCTATTTGCTTTTCTGTTTCAGAGGACCTCATCATGTCCTTCACAGTGTCCATGGCCATCGGGCTCGTAATTGGAGGATTTATTTGGGCTCTGTTCGTTTGTCTGTCTCGAAGAAGAGCCAGTGCTCCCATCTCGCAGTGGAGTTCAAGCAGGCGATCTAGGTCTTCTTACACTCATGGCCTCAACAGGACTGGCTTTTACCGCCACAGCGGCTGTGAACGTCGCAGCAACCTCAGCCTAGCCAGTCTGACTTTCCAGCGGCAAGCTTCTCTGGAACAAGCATATTCTTTTCCAAGAAAATCAAGTTTCAGGGCTTCTACTTTCCATCCCTTTCTGCAATGTCCACCACTTCCAGTGCAAACCGAAAGTCAACTGGTGACGCTCCCTTCTTCCAGCACCTCGGCCACCATCCCTACGTCCCACAGTCTGAGTCCAGACTTCCGCTGGTCCAGTAACAGCCTTCGAGTTGGCCTCTCCACACCTCCCCCACCTGCCTATGAGTCCATTATAAAGGCTTTCCCAGATTCCTGAGTAGGGTGTTTTCATTTTTAAATTTTGTTTTCTTTCTTTTCTTCTTTTGTTGGAAGGAAACTATAATTTTAAGGAAATGGACCAAATGACTAATGAATTTTCAAGTTGAAATACATTTATGTAAGCTGGACATTACAACATAAAATACTTTTTTTAAGTAAAATGAAAATGCTTCTTTTCTCTCATGTCTCACAAAAAAAGTAAGATTTTCCCAAATAGTTACATATTGACATATTTTGCATTCATTCTGAGGTTTATTAAATATACTTATTCAAATGTAAGAATCAGCTATGATACAGTCAGTATTTATATTTCAGATTAAAATAGACTTTAAATGTTTGTGGTTTACAACCCTCATTCATTTTTCTGTGTGACTATAAAGAGAAATAAAATCACTATGTCACTTTTTTTTGACTTGCCAGAGAGTCCATGGACTTGCCAGAGAGAGAAAGAGAGAACCCCTCAGTGGAGTATGGCCGTACTGCAATCCTCTTTCCTCCATTTCTCCATCTCATGAGGATTTGAGGCACATATCACACACACCTGGATTGTTCTTTAAGCCTCTGGGCCAGGAGTTGAACCGTGGTCAGCCATGTGGGATCCAGTTCCAAATCCTTCCAGTCTAACCCACTGCACTATAGGGCAAGAACTCTTTCTGTCAGTTTCTATAAAATATATTCTACACTAATGAATTTTAGTTTTATTTTATTTAAAATGCCAGTTGAATTACAGTGACATTTTGCAGTGTATACAGGGCACAAAATGACAGAACAACAACAAAAAAAGATTCTAAATGTCTTGATTCCACTCATTTATGAGGTGTGGGAATCAAGCAAAGGAAGGTAGCCTCTGTTGGTGCCAGGATTTTGACATTTTTTTTTTCCCCACACAGTCTCATTTTGTACTTTTCCCAAGAAATTTTACTGAAATCATTGAAGCAAAGTTCTTGGATTCACTAACATGGTGATTTAACTTTTCTTCCCTGTTGTTGTTATATTGTTCAAAGAGCAACAAGAACAAGTCTCAATTCATTTAACCTACAAACAAATCTAGATGTTAATACTGAGGTCACATTTTTTTTTCTTTTTTAAAATTTTCTTTTTGGATTGCCAGAGGGCATATGCACTCACCAGAGAAAGACAGGAAGAAAGAAAACATCCCCCAGATGGGGCATGGTCCCACCTTACTCCTTTCTCCATTTTTCAATGTTGTCAGGATTTTCGGGCAAGCACGCACACATGTTCATCGTGTTTCTCAAGTTAAAGCCAAGATTCAAACCGTGATTGTCACATAGGATCAGACTCCCTTAACCACCAGCCTATAGGGTTGGCCCACGTTCACATTTTTCTTAAGGGATGAGTTTTCTTTCTTAGACTTAGACCTTGCAACTGGGAAACTACTTTGTCTAAAGATTTTCTTTAGGAACTTTACAAAGAAGTATGAGTCACTGGGGAGATAGTCTACTATTGTAGATGTTACAACCATCAGAAATTCTTCCTGGATCGACTTTTTTAAAAAATTTCTTTGTGTGTGTGTGTGTGATATTTTTGCTATGGGGTGCATGCACTCGTCAGAAAGACAGAAAGAGAGACAGAGAGACAACGAGAAATCACCTTCTTTTTGGGGGGGGCATGCCACAATCTCTGGGATCCTGGGCACCCACTACATGTGCCTGGCATGAGTTTCAAGCCACCAAGTATGGGACTTGAACCACGGTTAGCCACGTAGAAGTCCAGCGATGTATCTGCTACATCATCTGCTAATCTCCCTCAATTGACTTTTAACCATTAGATACCATCCCTCATTTGCTTCTCTATGTATGTCAACCCAACTACTCAACAGAGTTTTGTATACTGATTAAACTATGCTCTCTGATCATTGGTGTAGGCACTTATTCAAGAAGTCAGCTTCCACAGGTAGTCACAGTCATGTAGGAGGGGACATCGTTAAATGGCATCAGAGAGTTTCAGTGGCCCTTGTCGTTTAAGCACATAAATTCCCTGGAGCAGTATATAAAACACTGTGTTTAATTTCTGACATAACAAATATTTAGCTTATGTTTGTTTCTCTGAACATTGAGATGATCAGTCAAATAAATATAATCTCTTTTTAATTCTGCAGTGCCATGGTCACAACTAATAGTATTTGGCTATGGTACTAGAGTGTACATATTGTTACATACTGAGATTCCATATAGCATTTTCTTTATTATTTTAATTTAGATCATATTATCCATTGATCCTCAAGGAGAATTTTTCTTCATAATGTCTGTAGATAGATACTCTATATTAAATATGCTAGAAGAAAAGAGAGAGAAAAAGAGAAAGATTGAGAGAAAAAAAAAGAAGAAAGGAATAAAGAAAAAAGCTAACGAGCTTTTTTTGTTGTTGTTGTAAATTGGTTTTTAACCAGGAAATTTAGCAGTTATAAAATAGCCAAATAAGATTTTAAGAGAACACTTGTTAGTATCCTACTATTTTTTATCATCCGTTATCCTTAATATTTAATGTGGGAAGTAAGCAAAGTGCATGGGTTTTACGTGAAATTTACATTGGGAGTAAAAACTGCTCTATATTTCTCAGATTAGGGAAATGTAAGCAGAAATCCTCCTGCAGAATTGTTATCCCCTCCTATTCCCAGTTATAAAACAATCTTGTAGATATTGTGCAGTGTATGAGATGTGAAATTAAAGCAAAACCTGGATACTTTTTAATTTGTATATATTTTATTTGAAAATGTTTTGTTGATTATAAAATAAGACATCAATTGTGATTCACAATTTATTTATTATATAATTAAAGTACTCTCTTAAAAAGGAGTCAGGAAATTATAAAACTCAGATATAAATCAGAAAAACATTTTAGATGAACAAAATGTATGAATTTTTAGTTTATTAAAATTAATTGTGGATTCAGCAGGTAGCATGATGGTGTTAAGGTGCTGGACTCCCACATGGCTGACTGTGGTTTGAGTCCTAGACCCAGTGGCTTGAAAATCACATCTGGCACATGTGCATGTATGCCCAAGATCCCAGGAGAAGAACAGAGGAGAAAGGATTGCAGTGTGGACTTCCCTCCAGGGGACATTTTCTCATTTTCCCTCTCGTTGTCTCTGTCTCTCTCTCTCTCTCTGGTGAGCACACACACCCTGAAGCAAACATATATATATATATATTCATTGAATAAGAAGCCTCTTAATTAATTTAGCACTCTAACCTAATCTAAACCATTCTTTGTAAACAAGTGAACTGAGAAACAAATTTTTTTATACAAAAATGTATAACAGGAAAGGAAGAATGTCACAAATAAATTTAACATATTTTTAATGAATTAACACACATTGAAATTTAGTAAGTTGTTTGTTAAAAATGTAAATTTAGATTTTTCCCTAGATAGAGAAATATTGGGTTGCCAGAATAGTCATGACACATTTTTGCATAGAAAAACAGAAAAATATGTCATGACTTTTCCGACAACCTTATAATTCCAGATTTAATTAATTTATTTGGAGATTACACATTTGAAATATAAAGTTCATATTAAAAATAAATTGGTCCAGCTGTAGTGGCATAGCAGTAGTGCAACACTCTGCAATGTTGGAATCCATATGGAAGATCAGGGTTTGTTTCCCAAGAAGACTTGTGCATGCACCTGTGATTCTGGCTGGCTGGGTGCAGGGGACAGATCTCATCATGAGATATTATTCAGCATGCTTGTTTCACTCTTTCTCTCTAAGGTAAATAAATACATACAATTTTTTAAATAGAGGAAATTTGAAATAAGTGCTGAGCAAATTTGTGAAATAGAAAAGGGATACTTTCCAAAAACCAAGGAGAAAGAACAAATTATAAAGTAAAATATAATATCTTTGATTATTTAAAAACTCTAAAATTCTGTTCATCAAAAGTTAAACTTACCTAAAGTTTGAAAGCAATTAAAAGAAAAAATAAAAGGGAAGAAGAAGACAACTTTTACTGTAGCAAAAGTTGACCAATATTTTTAAGTTGTGATCAGCTCAGATATGGAAAATACTCAGTTCTAAATAAGTAAATGAATAAAGGACCCAAAACAGGCCATTCATCAAAGAGAAAATTCAATTGCTTAGCAAGTGTGTGATAAAACAGTTAATGTTATTTTATTAGTAAGAAAATGCCCATGGACATTTGAGCAATACTTGAGCATTTTGTTTATCCCATTAGCTGATCATTTTTTTAAAAAATGAAACACCATATATTTCTGGTGGCAGAGTAAATTGGAACTACCTGAGCCAGTCGTTGGCATGGTGGTTAGTTGCCCACATGGCCAACTGCATAGTTTGAGTCCCAACCCAGCAGCTTGTAAAACACACCAGGTGCACAAGCTTTCGCGCCTGAAATTTCTTTTTCTTTTATTTCCTTTTTCTTTCTTTTCTTTCTCTCTTTCTCTTTCTTTCTTTCTTGTTTTTTTTTTCTCTCCTTTCTTTCTTTTTCTTTCTTTCTCTTTCTCTCCTCTCTTTCTCTCTCTTCTTTCTTTCTTGTTTTCTCTTTCTTTTTCTTTCTTTTCTTCATTTTTAGAGATTTTTGCCTTGGGGCACTTTTGCTTGCTGGGAAGAGAGAGAGAGAGATAAAGTGAGAAATCACATTCTAGGGAGATGGCTGTGCTGCAGTCCCTACTCCATTCTCCTCTGAGGATCCTGAGCACATATGCACATGTGCCCAGTGTGATATTTAAGCTACCACGTTCAGGACTTGTATCACAGTTGGCCATGTGGGAGTCCAGTGACATAACAGCCTCGCCATCTGCTGACCATATGTGCCTGAAATTTCAATAGAAAAGGAATTGTGGCATGGCCATCCCCTCCCAGGGAGAGCTTTTTCAGTATCCCTCTCTCTATCTCTTTTCAGTGAGCACATGCACTTCATAGCAAAACCAAAAAGAAAAAGAAAAGAAAAGAAAAAATTGGGATTGCTTTTTTAAAAGACAATTTGGTGAAATGTACCGAGAGTTTTTCACTAGACTGATTCTCAAGTCTTATGTTGCCTACAAGATACATAGTTTTCTCTGGAAAAGGGGTGGGAGGATAGTGGGCTTTTCAGAAGATCAATCCTAAACTGTCCTGTGTGACTTAAATCAGAGCATATCATGTCAGATGGCTAGTGGCTAGTGACTGATAGAATTAGATCTGCTCTGCTTTGGGGTGAAAGGGTCAGAATGCAGAAAGTGGAAGAATCATCACCAAGAGAGATTGAGTGTAAAGAATGCTAGAAGAACAGAGAGCAGAGAAAAAGATTACACATTCTTTAATAAACTCACATTACTTACTCATACATTTTTATGGCTCCACAACTTAAAACAAATTAACCCCCAAACTAGCTCAAAGACAAGCCATGATAAACAGTTCTTTCA